GGCAGGAGTATTAAAGGAGAACTATGGGGTTAAGGCTTTTCCCCATAGTTCTCCTTAGGGTAACGTGAGGACAATCTGGAGAGTATAAAATACCATCTAGTGGTTTGCAACAGTCTCACCTAGCAATGCTTCATGAGCCACTTTTTCCCCAGTTTCCTCAGAAAGGTTATAAATCAAAAAGCTCAGTCAGTCTGGCAAATTAAACTGGTACCAACTTCACAACTCACCCACACAATTTCCTATTTTTGTTACTACTTGCTACCTTCAAGAACCAAAACAACCTTCCAGCTAGGGCGACCCTTCCACAGTCCTATTTATAACACAAGACTGGTACTCTAATGGTGACCTCCTAACAGCTTGAAATGAAGTTCAAAATGTCCTTCAAAAACAACTTTACCCTTAGACAGTGGCAAGAACAAGCTTTCTAAGAATATCTTCAGAGCCACTTCCTAGAGAAGAGAAGGAAGCCTTAAAATAGATACAATAGCTGGGTAAGATACATTACAGAATTACTGATTGAAAATGACCACTTCCCGTAGTTCCTAATTACACAGCATCCAGCCCAACATTGTGAGATGGAGGTGCCCAACGCTAATGCGACCTGCAGTCCAAAGACAAACTTTTACAGGCAAATCAGTTTGGACAAGTAAATATTATCAAACCAAGCACTTTCTGGCATCAAGCATAACCCATGGAATGATAAGGTTTATAGCAAATTCTGCAATTGTGCTGATGTCAGAAATCCATGCGGTCTGAGTGCTATGTCGTTCACTGCAGTTAGCTTTCAGAAAGTTCCTTGCATGTGTGGGGGGTAAGCAGTCTGCATCCTAAATCTGTATCATGCAACTTCCTCCATCTCTGCTGGTTATATCAACAATCAGATTCAACCTTTCGGGGGTGGAGTGAAACTCAGTGACTGTTGTAAGAAAATGAATTTGCCGGCAAATCAAGATATCAAGCTTCCTTCCTGCGAAATAGCAAGGAGTCTGCAATGGTTGTGTTTTGCCAATGCCCTACATGTATTATTATGCCGATTTGCTTCAATAACAGCCTTCCAGGCTTCGAACACCATGTGCGGATAACATTTTTAAAGCCCAACTCTACGCAATACTCAATTCATCGTTTTAGAGGTAAAAGTAAGGATGTGCTGCCTACAACTCAAGGAATGAGGTCTTACCCATTACTGCAATAGTGCATCAGTTCACCCCACTTCAACTTTCTGATAATCTGAAGATCTAGTAACACCTTTCTCCTAAATCCTCATTCACACCTGAGCGTTTTGTCACTCAAAGCCAAGCACCACAAAACGCTTAAGGAATTCCATTCATTCCTATGTCCTCTGTTCACACCTGAGCACCACAAAAAGCCCAAGACAAGGAATCCTATTAATTTCTATGTCCCCTGTTCACTCCTGAGCCCTTTGTCACTCAAAGCCAAGCACCACAAAACACCCAAGACAAGGAATCCCATTCATTTCTATGTGCCCTGTCCACACCCAAGTCTTTTGTCGCACAAAGAAAAAGCCTTCGTGCCTTCCAAAACGCCTGTTGTAGGACAAAGTACATGAGCTACTTTTTGCCAGATTACAGCGCTTTTTGGTCCCATAGACTTCAATGGGAATCTTCGTGCGACCAAACGCTCAGGTGTAAACAGGGGCCATAGACATGAATGGGATTCCTTGCCTAGAGCTTTTGTTGCGCTCAAGACAAGCGAATGGGTTTGATGTCTTGAGCGTTTTGTTGCACTTAGATTGAGTGTGAATGGAGCCTTATATTCTGGATATCAACTCTGGTTTAAAAATCAGTGCTGTATATGTGGCGACCCTAAACACTGACAGCGGTGTCATTGTGGAAAGGAGGAGAGATGCTTTGACAAAAAAATGCACCTGTTTCTTTTAAATGTTAGATTAAAGGAGAACTATGGGGTCAGTGTTTTTCCACATAGTTCTCCTTAGGGTAACGGGAGGACACAAACTAGCGTCCTCCCGGTACCCTAAGCTCAGTATACCGCGAGCTACAGCTCGCGGTATACTGAGACACCGCACCTGGAGCAGATCCTGACGTAGATGACGGGATCCGCCCAGCTGCGTGAGTGACAGCTGGCTCTGCCTATCTAGAGGCAGAGCCAGCTGTACCCGCCCCCTCCCCCGTCCGTTCCGCCAGTCAGCGCTGGCAGATCGGAGCGGGGAGAGGGGAATCCAGCCCCTCCCCCTGTCACGGCAGAGAGCCGTGACAGGATCGAGAGGTGAGGGAACCCGGTATGTTTTCCCTCACCTCCCGATCTACTGAGCCGACCTGTGACAGTCTCATTGTCGCAGGTCGGCTTAGAACTATGAGGTGAGTGGAAATCACTCATCTCATAGTTCTCCTTTAAGGGTGTTTTGTGTTTCATTGCACTATTATACATTAACAAGTTCCAGTAATTCTCTAGGCATGTGATGTAAGAGTATTCTTGAGAAATTCCAGGTAATTTTTTTTTCTTATCACACTCTGGTAGTGTAAAGATGCCAGTAAAGTTGCAATCAGTAAAATAGTTGAATATCATGTCATAATAAAACAGATATGTGCAGAACTTGTAATCTGCGACATCACTTCTTTCTGTAGTACTGAAGCAATTACTCGTAATGGTGATTTGTTTTACAAGAGGCACAGCAATCACCTCCATTGCCCCGAACCGCTGCTACAACACTCCCAGTCTTTGAAGTGACAATCATTAGTACTTGCACTGTATATTGTCATTAGATAATGCTGCTGGCAATTCTATAGCTAGCTTAGAAAGTAGCAACATAACAGTCACCAAGCCACAAAATTACTGCTATAAAATCGCTTGTGTGACATGACCCTTAGCCTACCTCATGTGGACCCAAAAACAAAAAAGGTTCAAATTTCACCTGGTACTTCCTGACCCAGGGTGACAACACTCACTATACTGCATCTATGGAGAAGCAGCGTTGTCACCCTAGGACAGAATTCAGCATATGACTATAGGACATTGCCCACACTCCTCTTCTCTATAGCGGGACATGTTGTGTAGTCTACAGAGTAAAGCCTCTTTTCACACGAGTGGTCCGATCGGGTTAGTTTTTCAAGCAGACCTGATGGGAAGCCCAATACAAGTCTATGAGGCAGCCAGGCTTAAACGGATGGGTGTCCGTTTACACCCAGTTACCCCCGACTCCAGGCCTGGTCACAAAAAACAAAACTGAATAGAGTTACATTTCCCCTGGCCTGATTGTGTCGGATCCGGCACAATCTGATGTAAACGCACACGTCTGTTTACATCCGACTACCCATAGACCGACAAGGAGTCCGGCAGTTTAAGATCTTTCCTCCAATGCAAGATAAAGGGGGAAAAATAAATGCATGGACACGGATGTCACATCGGTGAAATCTGATCTGTACTGCTCCTACCAGGAGGAAGTCCATGCATGGATCCGCTTTTGATCAGCCTGTGTGAAAGGGTCCTAACCAGGGAACTATGCTGACTGATAACAGTGCAACACGAGAATAAAGCACAAGTTAGCAGCTGACAATGGGAAACTCAAATGGTGTTTTTTGCACCTAACACATAACAAAGCACTCTGAATTGCATATTTAATAGACCAAAAGAAAGCAAAATAAGAAAAGTTAACTGTTAGGGTTCTTATACACTTTAAGGTAAATGAGGGATTGAGAACACATTCTCTTCGCTCCTTTGGCACATTATAACTAGCGGTGCACCCAATCAACTGAATCAAACCGAAACAGAAAGAAAAAAAAATTGTCAGGCGGAAACGAAAACATTTTTTTTTTCTAACCTTAAGATTATTAATTTTATATTTTATTTTTAATGTTACTGTCGGGGTCTCTGGGGAAATATCAGAGGTTTAAATAGACCTCTGATATTTCCCATTTGAAATAGAAAAAGAGATTGAGTCTTAAATCTCTTATTCTGCAGCCCGTTATGAATGGACCGGAAGCCTCTATATTGAGTGCTCCTGTCCATTCATAACCTGTGTATGTAGTTAGTATGAGTTACTATGCCTACAATAATGAATGAACAGGAAGTGATGCAGACTATCCAATCTACATGTAACCACCACAGCCCTTGCTACAATCCCCCATGCTACATGTAGGGCTCATTCAGTTTTATGCTATATTAGCTTTAACTGTAGTAACACATACATGACGACTGCTATCAGTTCAGTTACCGATTTTATAATTACCTGTACATAATTGCGTAATTTTCCCTGCGATAGGAAATCAGGCAAGATTATATATATTTATAACTCCAAAGAGCATCACAGATGCAAAACCTAAGCCGCTAAGGAATAAATAATCGCCGGCAAATGAGGAAATGCCGCTCTCGGGGAAATAAAATCATTAGCAGCGGAGGTGTAGAAGAACATGTGCTGTTGTCTCTCTTCCAATCTGTCAGCTTTATTAGAGGACGTTTGCTGACTTTTAACAACGCTACAAAACAAGCCATCCTCTATCTTAGGATATTCTTGATTTCACAAAACATTCTAGGAAAAGAAGGACTTGGCAACAATAACATTTCACTAGTTTTTCTTCTTTTTTTTTATTAGATGCCCAGGGGCTAGTCTTGTGCTTGCATAAACAATAAGGATTCCATTTAAAGTCAAACCAGGTCGTCTGAATATTCGTTCAGATGTATGCTGGTAGCCATGTTCTTTAAAAGAGACACTGTCACTTTGCACATTCAGGGCAAAAGGACACAAAACACAATCACCTAAAGCATTATGAAATAAAATGCTTGAAACCGAAGCGGATAATGACGTGCCTTGCACAAACGCCGTCAGTGTCGCCCAATTCAGGATGTAATTTCTTGCCCGATTGGTTGCTAAGGGCAGAACAAAAGGTCCTGATGAGAGCAGCACAGACAGTTCTTGTCAGAGACATTGTAATCAGCCTGTGCCTCTGTAAAGATATATTGGCATCATGTACAAAAAAACGTCAAATTTACTCTTCAATATCGAGACAGAAAAGTAAGGTACTTACTCTGACCGTCGTCTGGTTTCCAGTCCATCTGGCAAAAAAAGCTTTACTGTGGACACTATACAGCCGTGAGTCACTAAGAGGAAGGAAACAAGGTACAGATTAGCATTACCAATAACTTGTTGGGCAAACACAACTGTTAATTATCTTCCCTTTCACACCAAGGGGTTTGTACACATGAGGTGGTATTGCATAACGAACTACAGACAACAACGCAGCTTCAAGTATATCGCATATTTGTTTATGGATAGATTAAGGAATTATAGCTATGTATATATAGAGATATGGATAAAGTCAGGAAGGGTTAAAAATAGAGAAGCACCAATACTAGTATCGGTACCGAATGTTTCGGCGAGTACTCGTCCAAATGCACCAGAACGTCGGATCAGGGAGATCTCCCCCTGACCGGAAGTGCTGAGGGAGCATGGAGTTGGCTTCCTGCCCGCCTCCCTGACTGGCTAGGAAGTCGGCTTCACTTGTTGCTAGGCAGCCTGGCTTCCTGACAGATCAAAACGGGATTCCTGGGCAATCAGGAAGCCGGGCAGTGGGTCATGATCCGTTGCCCGGCTTCCTGATAATCAGGACACACGGCACCAGTAGCGGTATCGGTGCATCCCTAGTTAAAAACATTCAGGTTATTTTTTGCAGTGTCTGTCCTGTTGGGGAGATATCACTTTACTTCCTCTATCCTGGAAAAGACGAAAAAGAACATGAAAGGAAATCTCACTAAAGCTATAAATTCCCATCTTAGACAGTTGTCACCAGATCATTTTTGCCCAATTAAGCAATTTACTGTCACCTTTTGCTGGTGACGACTTGAAAATGTTCGATCTCCTCTTACTTAAGCTGGCCATACACTAGATTTTCAAATGAAAGATCTTTCATTACCAACAAAAGTTCTTTCTTTGCCACCCGATATTGCCATCAGAGACGTAACAAATGTCAAACTAAATTTTATTTTAACAGTCAATTTTGGAATGAATGGATTTCCCTGAATGAAAACCAAATTTGCCGTCAGAATTTCGTTCATTCGAGAAAATTTTTTCGATCCTGCTTCGACTTTTTTTTATCACTATGGTCGAAATCGATCATCAGTTTGACCCCATCAACTAATAGAAAGTCAAAATAAAGATCTTTCGAAAATCTACTAGCGTATGGCCACCTTAACTGCCTGAGTGACGAGAGCCACCAGCACAAGCAAAACAGTAAGGCCCCATTCACACTAAAATCACAAGGCAATCGCGAGAGCCTGTTGCCTTGCGATTGTAGCTTCCGATTGCGGTGCCATCCGATCCATTGCATTGCTATTTTTAAGCTTGAGGGTTTTTTTCTGCTTGTTTTGGTCACTTTTGACATGTCTTGAGTTCACATTATTCACCAATGTTTGTGATGTGATGCGCTAGCACATGTTTTTGCAACGTTCTGCTTAAAAGTATACCATTCTTTTTTTTTTTTTTTTTAAGCGCAATGGACAGCAACGCAACGGCATAAACTGTCCCATTCATACAATTCAGTTTTCGTTGTCCTTGAGTTACCATTTGTTGAAAAATGGATCGTAAAGCAACGGATTCAACGTGAATGGGGACTAAATCTCCCCGGGACACGTTAAAGCTACCAACCCAAGCTATTTGTGCAGTTTCGTTATAATGACACACCTCCTGAAGAGGCTACTGTTGCTATCCAAAATAAGCATAAAAGCCTGCAACCTCTCTGCAGGCAGCTATCTCAATTGCTCGGGGCTCCAAAACAACAACAACTCTGCATTTTCCAGAATTCTATGCCAAGTCATTGAGGAACTTTAAACCTAAAACCGCTTCACTGCTGATGTAGTCCATTTTCACCGCTCCCCAGACTGCTATAATAAAAAGGTAATTTTTTTTTACATGCTGCTGTTCTTTTGAATTTACATTAAGTTTCTACACTCAATGATTGTTGAAACAACATCCAAGGAAAAGGCAGATCTAAAATAGTCAAATGACATAAACCTGTGCTTGTATCAGGAAAAATGTTTTATCCATCTGCGGTACTGTACTAGCAACCAATGAAAATGCAGCAGTCATTGACCAGATATTAGTAAACGAAGTGACACTAAACTCTGGAGTTAAATCTTAAAACTGCATTCAAGTACCTTAAAAGAGAACTATGGGGAAAGTGTTTGTCCCCATAGTTCTTTTTAGGGTCACGGAAGAACATATACTAACCTCCTCCCGTGACCCAAAGCTCAGTATATCGCCGCGATATACTGAGAGCACAGCAGTTGGGACGGATCCCAGCAATACTGTCGTGATCCACCCAGCTGCATGAGTGACAGCTGGCTCTGCCTATCTAGAGGCAGTCAGCTATGCCCGACCCCTCCCCCGTTCGTTCCTCCACTAGTTATATGCTCTGGCCCAGTCTACCCTTTGTAAGTGCATGTTATTTAAATTGTATTCATTAAAACATTGCGTATCTGCACTGCCCCACGTCCAGTCCGGTCGACTCTCTACGCTGCTGGGCCCTGCGACTTTTGCCCATCTCCCGGTCCAGTCCTCCCAGTCAATGTGCGGCGCGAAACCCCAGCTTCTAGCCCTGGGGCAGTAGAACTGCCTACGCCGGAAAGGAGGAGGAGGAGATAAAGAACCGGACAGGCACTGCCATGGACAGCTAACTGCAGGTCCCCAGCAGGCTGCCAGGGTCCCCACAAGCGCGGGAACTCGGACGGCGACTGCAGTTTGAAGATGTAAAACTTTTGAATTTACATTAAGTTTCTACACTCAATGATTGTTGAAACAACATCCAAGGAAAAGGCAGATCTAAAATAGTCAAATGACATAAACCTGTGCTTGTATCAGGAAAAATGTTTTATCCATCTGCGGTACTGTACTAGCAACCAATGAAAATGCAGCAGTCATTGACCAGATATTAGTAAACGAAGTGACACTAAACTCTGGAGTTAAATCTTAAAACTGCATTCAAGTACCTTAAAAGAGAACTATGGGGAAAGTGTTTGTCCCCATAGTTCTTTTTAGGGTCACGGAAGAACATATACTAACCTCCTCCCGTGACCCAAAGCTCAGTATATCGCCGCGATATACTGAGAGCACAGCAGTTGGGACGGATCCCAGCAATACTGTCGTGATCCACCCAGCTGCATGAGTGACAGCTGGCTCTGCCTATCTAGAGGCAGTCAGCTATGCCCGACCCCTCCCCCGTTCGTTCCTCCACTAGTTATATGCTCTGGCCCAGTCTACCCTTTGTAAGTGCATGTTATTTAAATTGTATTCATTAAAACATTGCGTATCTGCACTGCCCCACGTCCAGTCCGGTCGACTCTCTACGCTGCTGGGCCCTGCGACTTTTGCCCATCTCCCGGTCCAGTCCTCCCAGTCAATGTGCGGCGCGAAACCCCAGCTTCTAGCCCTGGGGCAGTAGAACTGCCTACGCCGGAAAGGAGGAGGAGGAGATAAAGAACCGGACAGGCACTGCCATGGACAGCTAACTGCAGGTCCCCAGCAGGCTGCCAGGGTCCCCACAAGCGCGGGAACTCGGACGGCGACTGCAGTTTGAAGATGTAAAGGGCCGGTATCGGCCTTAAGAATCGGGGCATTTTCACGAGTACAAGTACTCGTGAAAATGCCTGGTATCGGCCCCAATACCGATACTAGTATCGGTATCGGGACATCCCTAGTTTACATCACAGGTGTACTTAGAGGTGCTGGGAGTGGTTTACAGCACTTTGAAAAGCTTGCTTAAACTTTCCTCGCTCACTCATTCATATTAATATATTCCTAAATTACCATGACTTAAATAAAACCACATGGCGTGCACCAAATACCATTGCAAACGCAGACATTACCAAACAAAATTAGCAGTGACATCATCACTGTGCTGCGCAGAGCTGTAGGAGGAGCAAGAAGGCACCACCCACTACAGACTGCCTAAGAAAACTACAAGAGGGGGCGGAGACAAGACCAGTCATGCTGCATAAGAATATAGAGCAGCCATGACTGGTCTTTATTACAGGAAGCTCCTGCACAGCGTTAAAGAATTATACTGAATCACTGAACAGATCTGAACAAAATACTCAATGCACACCAAATATACACATTCCTTTTACTGTATTTTATTTGTTTATCCCAAAGTTCAGCTTTAGGAAAATAAACAAAAAGCCGTTAGGTAAGGTCCCAGCAAATGTGTATACATGTTCTGTCAGATGAGCGACAAATTTAAAACTCTTTTACTGTATGACTTTTAGTTCCGCCAGAGATCAGTCATGTTAGCATAGTAAGGGATTTTTAGGACAGAGCAGGTGCAGACCAGATCACTGACTGCCTCACATACGATGCCTCAGGCTGCTGGGATTCTATTACAGAGACTGTAGTAAAAGCTCAGATTACCTTAGAGTGTACAATAACTTATCACCTCCATGCTGGGAAGAGAGCTTCATAGTGTCAGTTATATCAACCCTGTAACCTGACCACTTACAAGCAGGCTGGACACACAAGAGGACCTCCCGATCGGTACTGGTTGTAGGGCTTTCAAGGAAAACTAGGCAGCGGATGGTAACCCTCCTGAAAATATGCTACACGAGTATAATTTCTGATGTTACACTGAACAGTAACAATTTCACTATTTACCACCTCCTGAAAGAGAAGAGTAGCAATGCAAGCCATATACTAAGTGATTCTATGAAAAGCTAAACCAGATTTCCATAACAAAAAGGAATGAATCTACCACCAACAGGTCCCATCAAAACCTGTAGCATCTCATTATCTGGCAGAGCAAATATTTGACACTTGCAGGCATCATAAGATCCAGCAACTACAATAACGGCACAGTCTACCACCCAATCCACACAAACTCTGTGAAAAACACAGCTTTCCAACATGGAGCACACGTATTCATTCCACCTGCTTCTCACAATGCCATGCATGATGCCTGGGAGTCTTGCCACCAGACATAAGCACAGCAGGGTGAATGGGTAGAGGAAGCATGCATGGCCATAAGAAAATATTCATTTCAAATAGTCACTAGTCACATTGTATTTTGGAGGTAGATAAGGTGTGACCACAGTTTAGCAGAGGACAAATCCCCTTCATATCAGCAACAAACCTGCTTGTGTCCAGTGACTACAGGCCGGCCATAATAGTGCATCGGCTGAAAACTTTTAGAATGAGTTCCAAATGTCAATAAGGTAAACATGCAAGGTTCTCAAAGAAGATGCACCGATACAATTGTTTCCAGATCGAGTACGAGGTCCCATACTTTTCCTCAAGTACTCGCCGATACCGGTTTTTCGGTATCGGCAAACCAAACAGATATCCTGTACCGATATTTTTTTCCCCCGATACCGAGTGATAACCCACCGCCCGGCTTCCTGACTGGAAAGGAAGCCAGCTCCAAGCTTCCTCGGCACTGCTGGTCACAGGGAGATCTCCCTGACCCGGAAGTTCCTGTATCGGAGGTAAGTATCGCAGCATTTGGGCGAGTAGGAGTACTCGCCCAAACACCCGGTATCAGCGCATCCCTACCAATTACCGTTTTTTCTAAAACAGACTAATTATTTAGGATAGTGGTGAAGTGCCAGATCCCGGTCACATACGTGACCACTGTGATCATGGTAGTTCTGCCACTGACTCCAAGCTGTAGAGGGACTACAAATCCCATCAATACAGGATTGTACAGTAATGGGGAATTATAACCGGCTATAGGGACTACAAACCACTACACAATCTGTAATTTGACCTCAAACATCTCTGCAGACTTCTTTGCGAGGCAGTGAGCCTATTGCATGAGTGGAGGATGAAGATCCTGAGACATCCTGCCTACAGACTATATATGGTCCCCACTATTGCAGGGTTTTTAAAGATGAAATTTCAAGTACAGTAAATCTAAGGCTACAGCTGGGATGCGATAGTCCATACAACCATTTACCTGTAATTTGACCTCAACATCTCTGCAGCCTTCTGTGTGAAGCATCGAGCCTAATGCATAGGTAAAGGATGAGGATATTGGGACTTCATACAAATTACTACAAACCTACAAATTCCTGTGACAGGAATCCAAAATCTCCCGTTTAGATGTGGCCGCCGTCACCCATTCACATTAATTACCAGATGACAGTGACCGCACCTGTAAGCAGCAATCCGCATGCAATACAATTACAAACGGTTTGGAATAAATCAGTGACCCTGGATGCATCCATCTCATCACATACGATTACACATGGACTACCGCTTATAGATGTGGCCATAGTCACCCAGTCATTAACTTGTATATGTGACGGCAGCCACGTCAAAACGGGAAATTTTGACTTTCTGCCACAGGAATTTCTGCCACATCTTGGGGTTCCTGTGCAGGTATCCCAAATTGCATAGTGTGAATGTACCCTAAGGGACAGGGTAGAATCAGCCAGCAATATGCATAGCCTCGGTTTTGTTTGTTTTTTTAAATACAAAAAGGGACAAAGGGCTAAGGCTTTCTGTTACATACCCAAAACTACAGAGAAATACTTGGTTTTAAATTCCAAGTAGGATCCATTACACACTGCGTAGTCCATTACGAGCAGCAATAATCACATACCTTTTCTGGTGTTCTCCGTTACGTCAACCCCAAACTGAATAATGTCACCCGAAAGGATCTCACATGGCGGGCTTTCCTCAGACCCTCGACTCAATCTCTGGCTGTTGATGAAGGTACCATTACTACTTTTAGTGTCTTGAAGGTAGAACTGCAAGAGAATAAAAACAGACGACATTTATGAACTGACCAAGCAGATAACTTTAGTAACAAAGGAGTCCTTCAAAATGGACTGCAACTAAAACAAACCATTTTTAAATGGAGAGTTAAAGTTAATTAGTATAATCTCCTATAAGCTTTAACATGTTCATTAAAAAAATGCCTATATTTATAAATCCACAGCTTTCATTAAATTATTACCCAGTGATACCGTCACAAAGCACTTCCTGCGATAGGCACAGAGTATCGTCGCCCTGTCTCCCAATAGCTTTCTTTAGTTGTCACCCTCACTTCCTATCGAGATAACAGGGGCCTTAATAGCGCATAATGCCCGAGGAATGATACACAGTTGTAACTATCTTGAGTACATCCATTAGGACAGTAGGGGTTGGAAAGAGGCAGCAGGAGATCAGCAGTGCTTATATACAAATATGGATGACAAAGTAGGTAAATATTGTATTTTATTAAAGGAGAATTATGAGGCGAGTAATTTTCACTCAGCCTCATAATCTGAGGCAACCTGTGACAATGAAACTGTCACAGGTCGGCTCAGTAGATCGGGAAGTGAGCCAACACATACCGGCGCTCGCTCACTTCTCGATCTAGCCCTGCAGAGAGCCGTGACTGTCACTCACGGCTCCCTGCAGGGATTTCCCCCCCTTCCCTGTCCGATCCTCCAGCGCTAATTGGCGGAACAGACGGGGGAGGGGGCGGGTACAGCTGGCTCTGCCTCTAGATAGGCAGAGCCAGCTGTCACTCATGCAGCTGGGTGGATCCCAGACAGAATTGTCGGGATCCATTCCGGCTGCGGCGTCTCAGTATACCGCGAGCTGTGGCTCGCGGTATACTGAGCTTTGGGTGACAGGAGGATGCTAGTTTGTGTCCTCCCGTTACCCTTAGGAGAACTATGGGGAAAAGCCCTAACCCCATAGTTCTCCTTTAAAGAAAAACATGCAACTTGATTTAACTCAGAGCAACAAGATTTGATAAATTTAGAGACGCTGGATTAATGCAACATACTTCCAGTTGCTAATTAAATATAATGTATTTTACACACTATCCCTCTCTTATTTTAAAATAATGTTATCCCTGTGCAGCTTCTGTGTCATTGTTTGTACACATTCTGGTTAACAAAACTAGCAGGTCAATAATTCATGCATTTAGCCATTATTATTATGTACATAGAAGTTTGCCTGGAGGTTATATCATTAAAGATACACTGATCCTTTGCCCATTGAAGGCAAAGTGACAGGATGTACACAAAACATAGCCCCACCCCTACCTGCCCCAATGGTGATCAAGCATAGACAGGAGTCTAATATCATGGTAACCCCCTTGATGCTTGGGCCTGGTGATTGACTGCCCAAGCACGTCAGCAGTTTGACATTGGGAGGTCACAAGTACACCCGTAACAAGAAACCCTAAATGGGCAAAGTGACATCGTCTCTTTAATCTGCCCATAGATGCCAAAGGGCACTGAGGTAAAAGTGCAAGATCTGACCGCCAATATATGTTTTTGATATTCATTCCATAATCATTCTCCCATTCCATATCAATAATCAGTCCATATCATTCTATCTCCCACCTCGGACTGCCTTTAAGCGATCCCCAAAGACTCATCTCTTCAGGGAAGCCTATCCCACCTCAACCTAACCACTGAACTATCACATTCTCAAACAATACAATCCAAAAGGGAGGGCATGTGTGGGGATGCAAGCCCTCAGGGGCAGGGCACTCCTTAACATCTTGTCTTGAATTGTATTGTAATGCCTTCCTTATATTGTAAAGCGCTGCACAAACAGTTGGCGCTATATAAATCCCGTATAATCCCTTAAGACTCATCTCTTCAGGGAAGCCTATCCCACCTCACCCTAACCACTGAACAATCACTTTCTCAAACAATCATCCCCACGCAGCTACCTCCTCATGTATCACTTGCCCCTCCCTTTTAGATTGTGGGCCCTCCTTACCATCTTGTCTTAAATTGTATTGTGACTGTAATGTCTTCCTTATATTGTTAAGCGCTGTGCAAAGCGCTTTGAACACTCAGGGCTCAACAACATTGCTAAGACATTAAATAATCACTGAACCAGAGCAACCAATTAGTTGTCTAGTTAGACACTACAAGGCAATGACTGATTCATTTCCATGGTTAGGAGTAAATCTGCACATTTTGCAATGCATCATTTGATACAGTTGCAAGCTGCAGGGCTTTGATGAAGAGCTAGAAACCATATTGGTGTAAGGAACACTAAGTGGCTGTAAACAGATTTAATTCCAGCCAGTGAATACATATTTCATAGCTCCAGTGCAGTGATGAAGTTGGATCACAGCAAATCCTAAACCCAATCCCCTGCGTAGTTGACAGCTGTCATCCGAGGTCAGTGTGCCCCTTGCATTCAGCTCTGTTTTGCTTGGTTTTGGCTCTTGGAAAGGACATCACCAATCACATGTCATAAGGTTTCCAGTTACTTTCTCAGAACTTGCTTAACATTTCAACCATCACCACTCATTACTGAATTATAGATGCAAGAGAACCCTCTGCAAAAATAAAAGAACTCTACTTTAACTTGTAACATTACATCTGTAATGGCATGTCATCTTACATATCAGCTCATTCCCAAAGCCACGGTCCACTCATGGTTGGTGAGCACTGGTATAGTATTTAGGAGAAGTGTTTTATATTTAGAGCTCAGTGCACAGCACAGAGAAGCACAGCTAATAGAAGCCAGCCTGATTGCCTAATGCTTCACAGACTAGAAATAAACTGCACAAAGTCCAATTATGAAGCATGTAGTGCCAAAACTTTGTTTCTCTTAAGTTTTAGACGGTGTGAGAAAGGGTCAAAGCCCACCAGGTTATTCTTTGTTGTCAATGTTCTGTTGAGGGGATTTTTCATCACCTATTGTAAAAAAAAAAAAAGAAAAGCAACAGGAAGGAAAAGGAAATCTCCCCAGTTTGTTCTGATGTTGACCTTCCATCCACGGGACAAAAAAGGAGGGACTACTCTCTCCAATCATTCTGAGCCTGATGAAGGGGACCCTGTGTGGCCCCGAAAGTGCTTATTTTCGTATGGCAATAGTCGTGCAATAAATTGACTTTTGCTAATCTCACCGAATACTGGTGTGCTGGTGACATTTCTAACAATTTACTCTCTCCAGTGGGACACAATTTTTTTTTATGGTTCGTGGGGGTCTTTGTTTCATCCATAGTGAGAAGGAAAATCAGAGCAGGATGAAAAACTTTGTTTCTCATGTGAACAAAAAACGACTTCTAACAGGGAATGTGAAATTGCAAAGCCTAATGTGCTGGGCACAAAAGAAACCTGTTAAATACGCCCGGGATTGCATTCAAGTAGCAGGTCTGGATGAAATTTTTAAAAAGGCAAAACTTTTTTCTCTTCAATTCACCTTTGGGGCACAGGAATACATTTCCTAATATAAACGAGCTACTACCTGCTATCTGTTGACAGCCCAGAGCCACGTTGCAGCTAGGGAGGATCGCAAAAATATTGTCAGGATCACACCGCTGCCTGATTGACAGCTGGCGCCACCTCTATAGAATCACAGAAAGCTGTGCCTGCCCCCTGCTCTGTCTGTACTGCCAATGAGCACTAGACCAAAAGAGAGGGGAGTGGGGAATACCTGCAGGGAGCGGTGACTGACAGCCACTACTCCAAGCAGGGAGGGGACCATGAGCAATCAGCGGTTACATGATCGCTTAGCAATCAGTATGAAGAGCCGGCTTGTGACAGCTGCAATGTCCCACACTGGCTCCAAGTATTGGCAAGAATACATTTTGCTCTCCCAATCCTTCCTTTTAGGGTTTTCAAATAATTTTTTTTTTTACTTCACGGTGGCAAGATCGAATGCTTGGACAAATGTGTCAAACAAATATTCAAAAGGAAATTCTAAAAGGTGCCCATACACCTTACGATTATCGTACGATAATCGTATGCGATCGAATTTTCGAATGACAATCGTATGTGTGCATTGCAGTGCCCGAACCGACATTACTGTACAAATCGTACGACTTTTGACCGTCAAGCATGTTTGAAAACTTTGCTCGATCGTAAGGTTGCTGGCGTTTCCGTCCGTCAAAAGTCGTACGATATACACTGCTCATGAGCGAACGAAAATACGACAAATCAATTACCGCATTTCGTCCAGGTGCTTTTCGTTAATTACGGCTAAATTAATCTTGCGATCATCGGGGCAGGATGGGGCTGCCGTACGAAAATCGTACGACTATTCGATCGGACGAAACGTTGCGTTCGATAATCGTAAGGTGTATGGGCACCTTTACAGTGTATGGTCAGCTTAACCCTTCCCCAACCCACCTGAAGAATATACTATTTGTGCCAGAAACACATTCTTTATTACAATATCAAGAAACCCTTCAATTCCAAGGATGGAGAAAAAGCGATGGTTACAAGTATCATCACACAAACCTGTTTATGAGAAGCAGCAGCTATACAAATACTCCTTCAACACAGAACTTTGGAAATGTCTGGCATCATTCACACAAACAGACCCATGTGTTAGCAGCCCCACCATGCGACAGGTAGGTCCTCCTAATCAGATGGAGCTTCTTTGCCACTTTTGCCTTGTGTAGGACAGACCACTGAAATGAATGCAGATGCATGACAAAAACACCAAAAAACGGGTAGTGTGTTAAGGTGGTGTGAAGGGGGGCTTTCTCAAAGAAGCTCAGCTCAAGCTGGTCATACGGTCATACGTTCTAGTATTTTATTTTTGTTCAACCAGATTCCTCCACCAATGTTTATGAGCCTTGATCGAGGAATCTCCTGCCATCTTCATTGCCTGTCTGCTCTGTTCAATCAAAGATCGTTCTACTGGCTCTTTGATCAGCTGATCGAGGGATGCCAGCACCCACTGTGTGCGAATTTCAGATGTTTTTAGATGATTCGTATAGTGCGTGGCCAGCTTGTCTCCACTCTGCCCTCTCAGAGCTCCTGCTCCGTGTTTACAT